GCGGCGACGAGGCCTGGCGGCGACGGTGGTCTCCTCCCTCGATCCCGATCCAATCGGGGGAGAGGGGGAGAGATATTTTCGGGAGGGGGGGAAGTGTCGGTGGGGGATGCGGGCTGGACCGAGTGGGGAGTGGGGGGGAGGCATATGGGGGTGCGGGGTGGGCCGGCCTGGCCGGCCTGGTGGCCAGCTGGGCCGGTTGGCCCAACGGGTGGGGGTTTCTCTTTTGTATTTTTTTAATTATTTTCTTTTTTGTTTTAACTCATTTTAAATTACTTAGACATTTTATAAAAATGTGTTTACTATACCATATTTATCTATGTAATATTTAGTACAACCCGAACATTTTTATTTTAATGTTTGAAAATCTTTATTATTTACCAAACTTTGAATTTGAATTTTGGACCGGTTTTGATCTAACAATAGACTAGCAGCAGTAACCGTGGTGACGTGGCACCATTAGCGTGGGACCTCTGTAGCTTAATTATCCGGGCGTCACAATTCTCGTCCACTACAAGAAATCTCGTCCCGAGATTTAAGAGGTAGTGAAAGGGGGGAAGGTTTGGTAACGAATCTAGCGGGTCTTCTCATTCTGGCTTGCTCTTCTCGAAGAGATCAATCCATTACGTTGATGTCTTCATTTTTCTGCTTCAGGTCATCATGATGAAGTCATCATCCTTTCTTCGGGATCTCCATCGTACTTACGAAAGAATAAGGGGGGTATTCCGGGAGAACGAACCGCTACAAGGTTGACTATCTGGTCGATAACACCGGGGAAGGTGGCAGAACGTAACTCTCGAATTGAAACTTCAGAAAATATCGAGAGCAAGGTAATGAGGTTTCATGGGAAGTTTCGAGCGAGCAGGCAACCGTTCGATGCCTGAAACAGGGCGTGAAAGGGGCTCAAAGCGATCGGGAATAAGTATTGTGTCCGGTAACAGATTTGATGATCCCTCGGAAGATGGCTCGTGAATTACATACGAGGCCACACGCGAGGAACGACCTTGGGAACAGGGGGGTGCAGGAGAGTCATGTTTCAATCCAGTGGACCTGTGGGTTATGGGCCCACCATGTGGGTTGAAAGTAGGAAGGGTGGTGACATCTTGCACAGCCGCGACAGGGAGGCATGTCAGTGAATAGCTTGCCAGCTATGTTGGCAACAACGTTGGTTCCAAGGGCGAGGGACGAAGAGAACCATTTTCCTGCTCGTTGAAAC